AGAGAAATTGAAGAAGTTGCCACCCAAAATTAAGGAAATTTGGGAATTTTCTTAAGTGCAAACCTTTTTTGATGACAATCACCCTAACACAGCTATTGCAAGCCGTGCTGGTGATTATTACACTGACACTGTTGTGAAACACTTTAGGAAAGTCATAAAGGAACGAGAGGTACAGGCCACTATGGACAGATATGTTGTGCGACAAAAGTCCAGTGACTGAAGCTGGTCCTAGTGGCATTAAAAGAAGAAGGGAAGTAACCCCAGAAAAGGACTTGACACCTCAAGTCTTAATGGAAGGGGATTCCCCTTCTAAACACTAAGACTCTCTCATCCTCCCATCCCATCAATCATCACCAGATCTTCAATAAAGGTAAGTGTCATGTAACTGTGCATGTCTGTTTCAGTTTGTGTGTATTAAAATTAATATTTCATGTGGTAAATTTTTTTTTTTCATACTTTGGGGTGTCTTGCACGGATTAATTTGATTTCCATTATTTCTTATAGGGAAAATTCATTCACATAACGATAATTTTGCATAACAATGAGCTCTCAGGAATGGATTAATATCGTTATGCGGGGGTCCACTGTATATTAAACAACCATGGTGACATTACACATCCCTGTCTAAGACCTACTTTTACCGGGAAGTAGTCTCCCTCTCTTCTACACACACTAACCTGAGCCTCACTATCCTCATAAAAACTCTTTACACCACCTATTCCATATACTGTACTTGCAACATCTGCCACATTGCTCTCCTATCCACTCTACCATATGCCTTTTCTAAATCCATAAATGCAATAAAAACTTCCCTACCTTTATCTAAATACTGTTCACATATATGCTTCAATGTAAACACTTGATCTACACATCCCCTACCTACTCTAAAACCTCCTTGCTCATCCTCAATCCTACATTTTGTCTTACCTATAATTCTTTCAATTATAATCCTACCGTACACTTTTCCACAATAAACTTATTCCTCTATAATTTTTACAATCTCTTTTGTCCCCTTTCCCTTTATATAAAGGGACTATACATGCTCTCCACCAATCTCTAGGTACCTTCCCCTCTTTCATACATTTATTAAACAAAAATACCAACAACTCCAACACTACATACTCCCGTGCTTTTAACATTTCTGTCATGATCCCATCAGTTCCAACTGCTTTACCCCCTTTCATTCTACGTAATGCCTCACGCACCTCCCTCACACTCACATCCTGTTCTTCTTCACTCCTAAAAGATGGTATACCTCCCTATCCAGTGCACGAAATTACCGCTTCCCTTTCTTCGTCAACATTTAAAAGTTCCTCAAAATATTCTCGCCATCTACCCAAAACCTCCCTCACCCCATCTACTAACTCCCCTATTCTGTTTTTAACTGACAAATCTATTTGTTCCCTAGGCTTTCTTAACTTGTTTAACTCACTCCAAAATTTTTTCTTATTTTCATTAAAATTTCTTGACAGTGCCTCTCCCACTCTATCATCTGCTCTCATTTTGCACTCTCTCACCACTCTCTTCACTTTTCTTTTATTCTCCATATACTCTACTCTCATAAGCTAACTTTTTCTCTTTTATCATAACCTTTACGTCATCATTCCACCAATCACTCCTCTTTCCTCCTGCACCCACCCTCCTATAACCACAAACTTTTGCCCCACATTCTAATACTGCATTTTTAAAACTATTCCAACCCTCTTCAACCCCCCCACTGCTTATACTTGCACCAGTCCACCTTTCTGCCAATAGTTGCTTATATTTCACCCGAACTTCCTCCTCCCTTAGTTTATACACTCTCACCTCCCTCTTACTTGGTGTTGCCATTTTCCTCTTTTCCCATCTACCTCTTACTCTAACTGTAGTTACAACTAAATAATGATCCAATATGTCAGTTGCCCCTCTATAAATGTGTACATCCTGGAGCCTACCCATCAACCTTTTATCTACCAATACATAATCTAACAAACTACTTTCATTACGTTCTATATCATACCTTGTATATTTATTTATCTTCTTCTTCATAAAATATGTATGACTTATTACTAAACCTCTTTCTACATACAGCTCAATTAAAGGTTCCACATTTTCATTTATCCCTGGAACCCCAAATTTACCTACTACTCCCTCCACAACATTTTTGCCCACATTAGCATTGAAATTCCCAACCACCATTACTCTCACACTTGGTTCAAAACTTCCCATGCATTCACTCAACATTTCCCAAAATCTCTCTCTCTCTCCTCTACACTTCTCTCTTCTCCAGGTGCATATATGCTTACTATAACCCACTTTTCACATCCAACCTTTATTTTACTCCACATAATCCTTGAATTAATACATTCATAGTCCCTCTTTTCCTGCCATAACTTATCCTTCAACATTATTGCTACTCCTTCTTTAGCTCTAACTCTATTTGAAACCCCTGACCTAATCCCATTTATTCCTCTCCACTGAAACTCTCCTACCCCCTTCATCTTTGTTTCACTTAAAGCCAGGACATCCAGCTTCTTCTCATTCATAACATCCACAATCATCTCTTTCTTATCATTTGCACAACATCCACGCACATCCAGACTTCCCACTTTGACAATTTTCTTCTTCTTATTCTTTTTAGTAATTATTACAGGAAAAGGGGTTACTAGCCATTGTTCCCGGCATTTTAGTTGACTTTTACAACACACATGGCTTACGGAGGAAAGGTTCTTATTCCACTTCCCCATGGATATGTAAAAGGAAAAGTAATAAGACCAAGAACTATTAAGATAAAATCAAAGAAAACTCAGACGAGTGTGTATAAATAAACATGCACATGTATGTGTAGTGTGACCTAAGTGTAAGTAGAAGTAGCAAGACGTACCTGAAATCTTGCATGTTTATGAGACAGAAAAAAGACACCAGCAATCCTACCATCATGTAAAACAATTACAGGTTTCCGTTTTACACTCACTTAGCAGGACGGTAGTACCTCCCTGGGCGGTTGCTGTCTACCAACCTACTACACTCCCAAATACACTCCCAAATTTGTCCACTAACCTTTGCAACTTCTCTTATGAATCTCCAAGTAGTAGTGTCATCAGCAAAAAGCAACTGTGACAACTCCCACTTTGTGTCAGAGTCTTTATTTTCCAATTCCACACCTCTCCCCAATACCCCTGCATTCACAACTGTGGAGACATCACACATCAACTTTTACTGGGAAATAATCTCCCTCTCTTCTACATACCCTAACCTGAGCCTCACTCTCCTCATAAAAACTCTTTCCAGCATTTAATAACTTACTACCTATTCCACACACTTGCAATATCTGCCACACTGCTCCACCACTCACATCTGGCTCTTCCTCACCATCTCCCTTTCTTCGTCAACATGTAACAGCTCCTCAACATATTCCTGCCATCTTCCCAATACCTCCAACTCCCCTTTTCTGTTTTTAATTGTCAAATCCATTCGTTCCCTAGTTTTTCTCAACCTGTTAATCTCGCTCTAAAACTTTTTCTTATTTTCAACAAAATTTATTGAGAACCTTACCCACTTTCTCATTTGATCTCCTTTTACACTCCATCACTCTATTAACCTCTCTTTTACTCTTAATTTACTCTACCCTCATATCACTTCTGCAAAAACCTCTCATATGCTAATTTTTTTTCCTTACCACTTCCTGCTTAAACTCTCCTACCCTCCTTCAGCTTTGTTTTGCTTTGACATCCAGCTTCTTTTCATTCATAACACTGACAATCTAATCTAATGCAAATACTGAATAACTTATATTTTGTAAATGTGTAACCCAGTTGTATAATTAGAGAAACCTTATCAAACTATGTTTTTATAGCATTACCTAATAGAATAATCCATTCTCTTGAATGCACTGTAACTCATCTAATGACTACATGAACTGTTACTGCACTACAGATCATTGATTTGATTTGATTAGATCTGATTAATAAATTGTATGACTACATATAGTAAATTGATCAATATTATTCACTGTAATGTTACAAAATTGTAAAACTATAATGCTTCAAAACTGAAATGTTCAAATTTCATTGTTTAAAATACTCAATTGTACATGATATTGTAAATTGTTTACTGTAACTGTTCAATTAAATCTATTATAGCTTAGATAATCTTAAATTAATTTTAAGCTTGCTCATAATGCTCTGCATACAAGGGGCTTTTGACATGTACACCCAACTACTATAATACCTTGTACAACTATGTTTCAATCCTAATAAACTATTATTATTATTATTATTATTATTATTACAATCGTCTTTTTCTTATCATCTGCACTACATCCACACACATTAAAACATCTCAACTTTCTAAGTTTTTTTTTGTTAAATTAGACACATGTGCAACTCTTGGGTATCTTTATTGAGGAAATGTTTCGCCACACAGTGGCTTCATCAGTCCATACAAAGGATAAACTTGAAGAACAGGAGGAGAATGAGGTAATCAGTCCCTCAACCTTGAGTCGATGTGGTCAGTCCATCCATCTATTCAAGATTGATGGACTGACCACATCGACTCAAGGTTGAGGGACTGATTACCTCATTCTCCTCCTGTTCTTCAAGTTTATCCTTTGTATGGACTGATGAAGCCACTGTGGCGCGAAGCATTTCCTCAATAAAGATACCCAAGAGTTGCACATGTCTAATTTAACAACGTGTCAGTTCTTTGAACCATTCGTCTACAAGGCTTTTATTCTTATTTTTTGTAATTTATACAGGAGGAGTTACTAGCCCCTTGTTCACAAATTGTGTCACCTTCTATGGCACACATGGCTTACAGAGGAAGGATTCTTTTCCACTTCCCCATGGATATAAAAGAAAATAAGAACAAGAACTATTAAGAAAATAGAAGAAAAATAAAAAAGATGTGTTGACAATACACGTACATGCACGTGTAATGTGGCCTAAATGTACCTATTATCTTTTGTGTTATGAGACAAAGAAAAGACACCAGCAGTCCAACCATTTCACATTCAGTTTTACCTTGGACAGTGTTGACATAGATTCCTGAATGTCCTGTGCGCATTCTTCAGTCTTATTTATGATACTGCTTAGTTCAGTCTGAAGGCAAGCAAGATGTTCCTCTCGTTTCAGATAAATCTGTTCCTCAGTATTTATACTAAGTTCTGGAGCTGGTGAATTTTTGTTTATATTTGCCTCCCTCTCAAAATCCTGCAATTATTCAATTCTTATATAAACAAATGTTGAAACATAAAGCAATATGAACCAACTACATTTTTATATGCAAATTTTTGCAGAACCAGAGTGTGCCCTCTTATATATTTGAAGTGGCACATATTACAAAGATTACCTAATATAATATTCTGTATTGTACCAGATAAGAATTCTAGTTTAGACATATTTTAATGAAGTGTAGCCAAGAAATTAAAAAAACAGCTGTAGCATTTGAAAAAATTAATAAAAAAATTTATTTGCATGCAAATAACGTATGAGCTTACTTTTATATCTACCATGCTTTGGAACATTTTGAAAGATGATAAAGCAGATGATCCAGACAGTAGCCCATCAAGTGACTTCATCTTTACATCCTCTTCAAAGAACAGAGGCTCAAGTTTGAAAACCTCTGAACTTTTCTGCAATTTTATGTACAGTATTATATAAAAGCTAATCTAATGACAGCAAATTTACTTTATTCACTATTCTGAATATTCTACATATTTGTATATGTTATAGAATATAGAAAAATAGATGTGTGGGGTATCTTAAATGTTGAGAACTGAGTAATAGTCACTCCTCTCTTATTCCAAGGAAAATAGTCCAAACTGAAAATTTTTTGTTATTATTTAAAAATCTGAATATCAGAGACCACTACAAATGCAGATTTTCAGAAAGCTTTCTTTCTTATTCGTTATAATTAGATTTTCCAAATTTTTGCTTTAATTTGAAAAGTACAGATTTTTTTTTAATTAATTTTGAATTTGAAATTCTAACAAGCATTCCTTTTTATTTACAAAATTCCAAACTAGAACTATTTTCCAAATTTAAGAATTTCTTCTCTTCAAAAATTTTAAAATGTGCTATATGGTTTCCTAACCCTGGTTCAAACAAAGCATCATGAAAGCTTAACCCCAAGCTAGCCAAATGGCATTCCCATCACCGTTCAGCCATAATACGTACAAAACCCTTTTTTCAAACTTGTATAGCATTTATGCGTGAAAATCTCAGTTGACAACAAAAGAAATAAATTTTCTTTTTGATATCCTACATGTGTGAATGAATCAAATTAAAAAAATCCATGTAAATACAGGAGGGCCCCGCTTTATGGTGCTTCACTTTATTGATTCGTCACTCTTGTTTGTTTATATCCTCCGTGAGCTCCGTGTCTTTTGATTATGTCTGGAAACTTTCCAAAGCTTCAAGGGCTTTAAAGTTATTGTGTATTTTATGTGTGTACCTGTACCTAATAAACTTACACACTGTGCTGGCATGCAGGTATATTAAAATCACCAAGAGTGTCTCATTAGTGTTGAAGATGCAATAAGAATAATAATACATAGTAATAATAATAATTGCTCTAGGGCATTTTAAATATCATATGATAACAAATGATAACAAATACCCACTCCAGACAGTATAATCCAACAATATCCGAAAAAGTCTAAATTTACTCACCATAGAGAATATCCATACCTATTATTGTGCCTACTACATACATAGAATGCTACACTCAAATATAAACCCTCCACTCGAACTTCTCTGTACCAACTTTAACAGGACACACGACTATAACACAAGGCACAGATCACTCCTTGATATTCCCCGTGTCCATCTCACACTATGTAAAAACTCTATGCACATAAAGGGCCCAAAAATTTTGATTTCATTACCACCGAATACCAAAGAAATCTTGTCTGTACATCAATTCAACACTCTTCTTAAAAACCACCTTTTCACCCAAAACTAATCCAGAACTAAATACGGTACTTAGTACTTAACTTTACCAATAAAGCTACCAAATCACTCTCCACTACCTCAAATTACAATTGCTCACTGTGTTACTCCCCTAGCCTCAGAACCCCAAACATAAATGCTCAGAGTACAATAAATTCTCATATTTTAACATAAATATTTTAATGCAAATGTTCAATAACATATATCTGACGTAAGTGTAACCTATTGTATAATTAGTGCAACCTGATCAAACTATGTTTTATATGTCTAGAGTTAAGTAATCTGTTAAGTTTAGACTGCCTGCAATGCCAAGGCATGATAGTGGCTCTCTTTGCACTATAAATCATTGTAAACCCTCACTGTAAACTATCTATGTATATAAACTTCCTACAATTGTCAACAACATTGTAAACTTGCAAGGAAATAAAAAAAATTCTAATTCTAACAGACATTTTCATTAATCCATCTACGATATTTTTTAAAAATTATTTAGGAAACACACTACATATCATATAAACAAAACATATACAATCATAAAATTTGTGAGGTGTGATAGCTATGTGTGGGCTATCACACCATTTGACTTCCTACAATGAATACTACAGTGGACCCCGGACATTCAATATTAATCCGTTCCTGAGAGCTCATCGAATGTCGAAAATATCGAAAGGCGAATTAATTTTCCCCTTAAGAAATAATGGAAATCAAATTAATCTGTGCAAGACACCCAAAAGTATGAAAAAAAAATTTTTACCACATGAAATATTAAGTTTAATGCAATAGAATAATTACAATAACAACAATAACAATAGATTAATCCTTTCAGGGTCCGTCCCGTAGATCTACGGCTTCACGTTGAGTGTCCAAACTGTAGATCTACGCCAAAATTCTAGCGCCGTCAAATTTAGCGCAAAAGCGCTCATAGGCCTACATGTGCGAGAACGGGTCTGCGTGGTGGGTGTGCGCCATAAACAAAAAATCTAGGCGCCCGCATAGCATTGTGGGAACACCGGCTCAGTTACCCTTGTTCACCATGCCTCATCGCAAGTCAGCTCTCACTCCCCGGAAAATTGGGACTCTCCTCTTCCTATCTGATAGTTCTGACACTGATGGAAGTGGAAATGAAGACGAATTCTACGGCTTTGATCAGTTAGTGACCGAAAGGAATGAAAAGGATATCGATAATAGTGCAGAAAACCCTGACGATCCTCAACCTTCTACCTCTGGTGTGGGCACTCGTGACTCACGGTCGGTTGTGCCTCAACGCAAGAGAAAACTAATATTTTCACGTGGCCAGGCCTCTGACTTCAGTAATGATGATGATAGTGACGTGGATTGTGATTATATTGCGCTCGACGATCATTCGAGTAGTGATAGTGAGGAATCATATTCACCAGTGAAGCGTCGGTATGTTCGCTGCCGCATGCGCTCAGGTAGTGTACCCTATGCTGTGCCCAGGGGACGGAGTACATCCCGGAGTACATCCCGTGGCCCTACACCCGTTTTAGGTAGTGATAGTGAGGATGATGTGGCTACACTTGGCATGGATAGACCACAGGCATCAGTGGATAGTGGTAGTGGTGATGGTAGTGGCACCGCCATGCGTGACTCACCAGCCCAGGCTGGGACCCACGCTGCTGACTTGTCAGTTCAAGGACAAAGTGGAGCATCAGCCACCAGCCCACCACAACCACAACCACCCGCACAACCAGCCTATGATGTCCAGTATCCACCAGCAAACCGTATGTGGGATTGGCAGCAAAATCCCAATTTTGTTCCCAAGCCTCACCACTTTGATGACTCTCAAAGTGGAATTCTACCTACTTGTCCCCTTGGAACCACGGCCAATGAACTGGAATTCTTTGAATTATTCTTTGACCAGCCACTGATGGAAACTATTGTCAGGGAAAGTAATAAGTATTTTGAGTACACCATGGCAAATACAGTGGACCCTCGACCAGCGATGGCATCGATTAACGATAAATCTGACTAGCGATACATTTTATCGCAAAAATTTTCCCTCGATTAGCGCTAAAAAACTCGACCAACACTATTCGTTCCGTCTGAGACGCATCCACTTCTGGCCAGTGTTTACAAGCCAGCCAGCCACTGCAGTCGCTTCCAAGCATACAATCGGAACATTTCATATTATCACAGCCTTTTTAGTGATTGCACCTGCAAAATAAGTCACCATGGGCCCCAAGAAAGCTTCTAGTGCCAACCCTACAGCAAAAAGGGTGAGAATTACTATGGATATGAAGAAAGAGATCATTGCTAAGTATGAAAGTGGAGTGCGTGTCTCCGAGCTGGCCAGGCTGTACACAAAACCCCAATCAACCATCGCTACTATTGTGGCCAAGAAAACGGCAATCAAGGAAGCTGTTCTTGCCAAAGGTGCAACTATGTTTTCAAAACTGAGATCGCAAGTGATAGAAGAAGTTGAGAGACTGTTATTGGTGTGGATAAACGAGAAACAGATAAGTCATTCTATCTGATTTTTTTTGGTTATCCTAGGTTTTCTGCACATATACTGCTATGTATGATAATTCTATGTAACTGTATTTGTGTATACCTGAATAAACTTACTTACTTACTTAGCAGGAGACAGCATCTCTCAAGCGATCATTTGTGAAAAGGCTAGAAAGTTGCATGACGATTTAATTAAAAAAATGCCAGCAACTAGTGATGTGAGTGAATTTAAGGCCAGCAAAGGTTGGTTTCAGAGATTTAAGAAGCGTAGTGGCATTCATAGTGTGATAAGGCATGGTGAGGCTGCTAGTTCGGACCACAAAGCGGCTGAAAAATATGTGCAGGACTTCAAGGAGTACATAGACAGTGAAGGACTGAAACCTGAACAAGTGTTTAATTGTGACAAAACAGACCTGTTTTGGAAGAAAATGCCAAGCAGGACGTACATTACTCAGGAAGAAAAGGCACTCCCAGGACATAAGCCTATGAAAGACAGGCTTACTTTGTTGATGTGTGCCAATGCTAGTGGTGATTGCAAAGTGAAGCCTTTATTGGTGTATCACTCTGAAACTCCCAGAGTGTTCAGGAAAAACAATGTCATCAAGGCTAATTTGTGTGTGCTGTGGAGGGCAAACAGTAAGGCATGGGTCACTAGGGACTTTTTCTATGACTGGTTACACCATGCATTTGCCCCCAATGTGAAAAATTACCTATTTGAAAAGAAATTAGACCTTAAGTGCCTCCTGGTATTAGACAATGCTCCTGGTCATCCTTCAGACTTGGCAGAGCGACTTTCTAGGGACATGAGCTTCATTAAGGTGAAGTTTTTGCCTCCTAATACCACTCCTCTTCTAAACACTAAGAAGATCAATGCTCTCCCCTCCTCCCATCCCATCAATCATCACCAGATCTTCAATAAAGGTAAGTGTCATGTAACTGTGCATGTAATCTTCAGTTTGTGTGTATTAAAATTAATATTTCATGTGGTAAAATTTTTTTTTTCAATACTTTTGGGTGTCTTGCATGGATTAATTTAATTTCCATTATTTCTTATGGGGAAAATTAACTTGACTAACGGTAATTTTGACTAACGATGAGCTCTCAGGAACGGATTAATATCGTTGGTTGAGGGTCCACTGTACGATCATATCACCACAGTCAAGACTGTTGCAGAAATGTATTTGCTTTTTGCAACAATAATGCTTATGCCTCA